TTAAAAGTTTGTCATTCCTTCTGGGGTCAGGGTTGTTCATTAGGCTGAGAGACTTCCTTTTTAGTTCTCAGCATCTTTGGTCAGTGTACATAGTTGGATCATTTTTTGCTTCCCATAAATCATTGATTTTTCTTTGTAACAGGGAATAGTTGATGGTCCAGAAATGAAGCTGTGCAAGAATTTTTTTTCTTTTGATTAGTAGCTACTCGTTTCATTAGACTGCTGTATGCGCAATTGAGCATATGGACTGAATAACCTAACCATTGGACTTAATGCTTATTATTCTTTTAACTTGTAACACGTAACTTTTGCTGCCGTTAAGCTGGTATTTTAGCAGGTCGACTTTTATTTGGTTGCAGTTGATATAGTTGAACTTTGGATGATCGAGCAAAGTGAGAAAATTTAGTTATTACCTATAAGAGGTTTGGAAGCATTTCAGTTACTCAAAGACTGAAGGAACAATTTCTTCCTTGAGAGTGCTATAGAATTCAACTTTTTATTGTTTTGTTGGAGTTCTATGGATCAGTAAATTGGGTGCAAGTTAATAGACAATTAGCAGAGGAACAACATCGTCTAGTCAGTCATTGACCCAAAAAAATGAAAAGAAAGAGGAAATGAAATTTGGGAAATTTGTTCGATGGGGTACCCAATAGGAAAGCTGGGAATACCTGTAGATCCCAAATGAGGACAACAAAGAAATATATGAAGGTGGAAGTTCTTATACATACACTATAAAATCCAAAGTTTTCTCAAGGAACATCTTTCAAAAAACTTTAAAACCCAAATTGTATTTATATTTAATGATCCAATAACTTAATTTCCTTATGGTTCGAAAGAAATAGTAATCATTTCACATTGCACCTATGATGTCTTAGCAGAACCATAACAACCTATCGTATTTTTCATTATTTGTTTGACTCATTTGTAGTTTTTGTACTTTTGTGGCACTGATTGACAGACGTACAAATGGAAGACAAATTTTACAAAGAGTAGGTGTAGCAATTTTGCACTAAGATGCCAGTACGAGAAAATGATCAAAATCATCCTTAAACGAATTATTTTGGTCCTTGATATACACCACTTAACAGAAATAGTCCTTAATATATGTCAAAAGTTAATCGGTTTGCTCCTAAACCCTAAATCTATTCGAGTTTTAACAGTTCTATTCTCTCCTCTCTACTCTCTCTTCTCCTTTGCTTAATCTACTTCCCTCTTTCCTTCAAGCAAGTATTTAAGTGGAGAGGGATAGAAGGACGGACCTATTATCCACCGATTTCGAATTATGCCGCCACTGAGTTATAAAAGAAAGAAATAAACACAACAAATAAAAAGCATCTCTAATCATATAAACTTATACACCAAGGACTTGAAGTCTTAAATTATTTGTAATACATAAACAGTACGTTCTCAAAATCATGTCACTGCAAGAAATATGTTACTTCGGGAAAGCTCGACAGACGTTTGTGTAAACGGTAAAATAAGATATTTTCCTTCTTGCATGTAATACAGAGACTCAATTCAGATGTCAAGCAAGTACATTAACATATTCCATTGCAATTATCTTCCAAAATGTGAGGGAAAAAACCACCATGAAATTTCTCTTCCATTTTCTGAATCCCGATCTATTTTTCTATGGTAATACAACAGCGATCATACATGTCAGCCATATTTAATACACAAAATTAAAACGCTGCCCATCCAGCTGCTGTGGTTTTACTTGATCCGGATCCCGTGGCTGAAGGCAGGATCCTCTGTAGACGCCAATAAGGATATTTGCTATTAAAAGACTTGCTCATTTTAACATCAAATAATCTCTCATAGTGCAGTCATAGTAAATAGGTAAAAAGCAGATATCACATGGATCATAAGGTTATATAAATCAAAAGTGACACACCACAAAGCGAGTGATCTTATGGTGTGCCTCACACAACTGACATTAGTTGTGTGAGGCCTCTTTTTATCAAATACATTTGTGGACCCATATCTTACACATTTGGGTCCACAAAATTCTGGGACCACAAAGTTGTGAGACAGAAAAGAGGCCTCACACAACTAGCGTCAGCTGTGTGAGGCACAAAATAAAATTTTTCCCCCAAAGCTATAGGTTTAGAAACGGGGCTGAGTGTTTGGCCAATTAAGAACTCACATATCTAGAAGATGAAAGTAGCAGAAATGAGGATGTTGAGGTGGATGTGTGGGCACACTATGATGGATAAGATTAGGAATGAAGATATTTGAGAGAAGGTGGGCGTGACTCCCATGGATGGCAAGATGCGGGAAGCGAGGCTCAGATGGTTCGGGCACGTACAGAGGAGAAGCCCAGATGCCCTAGTAAGGAGGTGCGAGCGGTTGGCATTGATAGGTACGAGGAGAGGTAGAGGACGACCTAAACAGTATTGGGGAGAGGTGACCAGGTGGGATATGGCGAGGCTTCAGATCTCCAAGGACATGACCCTCGATGGGAAGCTGTGGAGGTCGAGCGTTAAGGTTGTAGGTTATGAGGTAGTTGAGCATATTACTAACTCGTACCAGTGTGAGGCTAGGCTGATAGGACTTTGTCTTAGACTACTAGTAGTCAATGTTGTGTTCACTACTCTTTCGTTTTCATAGTGCCGGGCCATATTTACTGGTTATTATTTTTGCTTTCCATCTATTTACTGTTTCTTGTGATGTTATTATTTCTATGATTTTTGTTGATGGTACTGATATATTGTCTCTTTTCATCTTCTTGAGCCGAGAGTCTATCGGAAACAGCCTCTCTACCCCGAGGGGTAGAGGTAAGGTCTGCGTACACACTACCCTCCCCAGACCCCACTTGTGGGATTTTACTGGGTCATTATTGTTGTTGTTCCAATCAACAATTGAGACAGCATATTTTTAGTTATTTTTGGATAGAGCAACCTATGTTCCATAGGTATCTTCAATAAACTCTTTTGTAAAATTAGCACACTGAAGATACCTTTTAATTCCAACACTTCGATATGATAAGATTTGTCATCAATATTTGCAGAAGCACAGCAGGCAACAATAGTAAAACCAAGTGGATAAAAAAATATCAAAGGTCTGTTAGGATGTTTTGTTGATCAAAGTCCTTGTTAGCTATTACTTCTTGACTGAAGATGCACTAACAAAGGCTTGGGATTTACGGTTTAGCAATATGCAAAGAGCGACCTTCACAAGGAGCATTGAACAGGATGATAAGAAAGTACCTCAATTTCAGTGAGATCTGAAAGCGGATCAGTGGAATGCTTGGTGTTTTCGTTTAGAGCAATACTGGGAGAGGTAGAAGTCTTCCGAGCAGTAGCTGGATCATTTGGAGGGGGTGGAAGAGGAGACCTAATCTTGTTACCTCCACTAGGCGGAGGTGCAAGTGCTGGAGTTTTTTTCACGGCTCCTGTAGTTCCAGCCGCCAGTCCCACAGCCGAAAGCATGCCTGTCCCACTAGATGGTTTGTTCTTCACACTTATCCGGATTGTTTCACCTTCCTATACACCAAACTACCAAAAGTTATTCCCTTAAATAGCAAAGATTGTTATCAGGATAATCCAAATGATGACAACAACTACTACTATAATTACTTTTAAACGCAAGTATTGACACAAATCATTAATCTTGACATGAACATATTGCTATATCAAATACTGGGACCGAGCTAGCAACGTTAAATCTGACCGAGAAGATCAAGGAACTGGAGAAATGAAGAGCATAACAAGAAAACCAATTCACTGAAACAAATTATAGGGCAGGCATCCACATAACATCATAGTTTTCCTTGCACCAGTACTTAGAACATCTAAGAAACAAACACCCAATAAGATGAATAAGACCAATTAAGAATCAAACAGACCAAGTAATTTTATGCTCCCAAACACTAGCAAAAAGAAAAGGTGTAGTCATGGTAAAAAGAATCTCCAAGGCTCTAAGTTAACAAATAGATGCGTGAGGCATACTAGATTTCACACAATTAAGCTCATCTTATCGTTTGCCTCGGCGCAAGCTGCTCAAATTCATCCTATATTAGCTCAGCTCCAAGTTAAGCTGTATACTGCCTTTCAAATCCTACTTAGCTATATCTCTAAAACCCACCTTTCATTCTATTACAAACACATTAACCAAAAGCATCTAAGAAATTCTAAGTTCAATCAATCCAGATTAGCAGAATGACTGATATTCCTTGCTAATTATCAGAAAATCACTTATTCACAAACTTCCAGAAAACGATTATAGCTCAAATGCATACGATTTAGGTTAAGTTACTACTCAATTATCCTTCTTAAGCAACTGAATCACCAAACTGAAAAGAAAATTTAATTATCACAGACGAAGTTGAGTACCTTTAATCGGTGATTAACAGCAGGATGAATATCAATGTGATTATCATCACCAGCCTCACCATCTCCAACTTCCTTCTCATTCTCTCTCTTCATATACTTGTCGTGATCAGACAATGCCACATTAAAATCGAATGCTTCATTCCTTTCATTAAACCCTAGCCCGATGAACGCGTGCTTCCCTCTCCCATCCTCGATCTTCAACACGAAGTACCTCGACGAGTCGAGCACCGATTCAACCGAGCTCTCTCTCTGTCCCGGCGGCACGAAACACGCCGCGAAAAGCTCGCCGGAGTTTGGATCCTCGAGCCGGATCTCGCAACGTTCCTTGCACGATACGACCCGGAGCCGACCCGTCCAGATCTTGTCGGATTGTAGCCATTCGCCGCACTTGTAACCACCACTCGTCGGACGTGGTGGGATTTTGTAAACGGACACCTCACGCACCACCAGGAGCGTGTGCTCAAACGACTCTTCGTCTTCTTCAAACGACATTGCTTTGTAGATCAAAAAGCTTCAGTTTTTCTCAGGCGTTTGAGTTCAGAATTTTTGGAGTGAAGAAGGAAGGTGACGTTTGGTAGGAGAGACGTGTTGGACTGAGGTCAATTACTTATTTACCCTCATTTATTTTTCATTATTCCTTTTATGTCCCTAATTTTTCCGCGCTCTTTATAAGAAACCCTAAGGACTGTTCTGTGTAAATTTTTAGCTCCATAAACCGGCGAAGCAGCTCAGGTACTTGCTAGGGTTTTAGTATTACAACATTTTTGCTGTTTTTGTCCGCTCTGTAATTCTGAGGTTTCTTGTTTACTGTTGTTGTCTGTAAACAGGTGAAAATTTAGCGAGGATGTATCTCCAGTTTTACATCAATGAGAATGGTGACAAAGTTTACACCACTAAGGTATTTCTCTTCTGCAAAATCATTTTTAGAGTACTCTGTTTTTCTTTATGCTTCATAATTTGACAGTATCATAGGAAGTTTGCGAGCTTTTTCCATCTCCCTTTACTCATTTTATGATAGGGAAAATCCGTTTTTCGTTTGTATTGGACTTGAACAAAGCTTTGTCATGTTTTGAAAGTGGACGCTATCGGAACATGTCAGCTTACCATGTCTTTTCAGTTAAAATTCTTTAATGTATTAAGTATTAGCATAAAATCATGGCACACCCAATTAATGACATAACTGATTATTTGAGACCCAGTAACTATTATATAAAAATTTTTTGGTAAGAATATATCTACATTATGTTTGTCGCCATAAGTGGAACTAACACATTTGTAGAGAAATCATGATAGTGGAAGAATAACAATGAAATTGGAAATAAGCCCATTACTCTCCAGGACTCTTGGTTTTAGCACCATAATTAACGGTTAGGCTAACGGTTACTTGGCACATTGGGGAGCTTTTGGGTACTAACCTGTTAAGTTTTCTACAACCAGATGGTTTAGCCGTCCTTTTTCTCCATTGGTTATTAGAGTTATCTATCCTTGAAAGCTATGTACTGGCCATAACAGTGAGCTATATAAAAGTAAGTTACCTTATTCTTAAAGCTCAATCTCAGTTTACTCATTGAGGGACGTTACAAGGTAGCTTTCCTCTATGGAGCTTTTACGGTATCGGTATTTGAGCTTGGATTCATGTTTACAACTAAGTTAAGCTCATCTGACGTTCTTAAATGGAACTCTTCTTCCAGGTTTACATAATATAACAAGTAGTGCTTGAATGTAGCTATAGTGCAGCGAGAGAAAATAAAAGTTTAACCTGTTCCTAAATTCTATTATTCAAACTGTATTCTGTCTGAAACAGTCATCTAACATTCTGCAAAAGCTTTATGCTTTGATAAATTTGGTTCTGCGAAAGCAGATACTGATTAGGGAGATTTGCTTGATAGCATTGATAACTTCTGGTGATAGTTTATGATTTGAATGACGAGTGACTGATATGGTTCAGTGTAACCCATAGCATACATTGAACATTTTAACACTCATGATTCATGAACTGGAATTTAACAAGCTGGAAATTTTCAGTTGGCATAACAGATCCTCTGCACCACTTAATGTTCTTTCTTGGACTTCTATTGCTCATTCCATCCCAAGTCGTATATTCACTTTCTTGATTGTGGCGATCTATCAAAGAAGTTTTTTGCTTGTACTTTCTCAACATGTTCATAGGCCTGACTTCTTTTACTTTATATATATGTAGAAAGAGTCACCACTGGGTTTGGCCACAGAATCCGCTCACCCAGGTAATCCACAGCCCCTCTCTTATTGTATCTATGCTGGCACTTCAGTACAAACTACAAGCGTTTGTGACTACTCTTTTTATCGGGTATTACATTTTAACATACAGACAATTGACCAGTTCTTTTTTGCTGTTATTGATATTTCCTGGATTATGTTCTTTGCAGCCCGCTTTTCCCCCGATGATAAATATTCAAGGCAAAGAGTGCTTCTGAAGAAGCGATTTGGTTTGCTTCCAACCCAAAAGCCACCTCAAAAGTACTAGAAGTTTTTGCTATTGCGTATTGCTTTCTACTCATGGTTATTATGTTTCTCTGTCTTGCCGTTGTTGACGTGACTCATCATGTGTTGTAACTCAAATTGCATGGCAGCAATTCAAACCTCATCTCTTGTTGATGGTTTTTTGGTTTAATTGTCGAAATGGTGAATGAATGTGCATGCAATTCATCTCAGTTTATTTATATTTAGAACAATCAATGTTTGTTGTTTTGGTGATGTTGCTAATTGCAAGTTGGAAAAGTGTTTTCCAACTCTAATTATGGGGTTCCATAATTATACAATTTGAGAGGAGCCAAAGGGTGTATCGAATTTGATCTATACAATCTAAATTAGATGGTCATACAAGTAAAATAATGGAGAAGACAATAGCAGTCATTGTAATGTTCTCTAATGGTCAACAGAAATTAAAGCTGAAATGGGCTTATATACTAAGCTGGAAACAATGTCATTCTCAAGAGGAACTACAAGAAGTCATACTGAAGAAAGACAATGCGAAGAGATGCAGAGAGGGGAAATTGGGTCCATTTAACCAGTATTCTAATCACCAAACTGACCAAGACTAACCAGCTAACCCGATTCTTAACCACCTCCTTCCCTTACACCAAACCAATAGATACGTAACATGTATTTGCATAAAGACTGCTCTCACTTAACCACTGAGCTCGATGAGTCCCAGTCCCAACTATACTGTAATAGTCAACATGGTGGCTCTCAGCATCGTGTACCAAAGGGTTTCCATTGTTGTTACCGACCCGGTGCTGGGTGTTGGGAAATGTTCATGTGTCCGACGACTAAGTGACATTTTAATCTGGCTCTGTTTTTGAGTGATTTGGTTCTGTGTTCGGCTCTTGGAAAACGACATATTTGATTTGGTTATGAGAAAAATCAGTTTTGAATACTATTTGTTGAAGATAATAGATTAAAACACTCATTTACTGCTAATTTTTTTTTCCAGAATACTTGAAAAGCGAAAACTATAAAACTATCTTAAGAACCAAAAAAAGGGGATAAACGCAGACTTGAACAGTGAAAGGTATCAGCCAAAAAACAAGTGACAAATCAGTTCAAGAAAAATAAAAGGTTGCAAAGTGACATTTGTGAAAAGAGGAAAGTGATATTATTATTATTATTATTTTTTTTTTTGCAACTTGCGAACTAGCAAAAATAGGGCTGGTAAATGCTTGTGTTTGAAGAGGAGTTGGTTGCAGAAATCCACCATCATCATGTATCGATTCCAAAACCAAACCGGCATGATTGTCACGCATAATCAGTATAATCTATGTATAACGGACAGGGGATCTAGCTGGCTATTTGTGTAAAGGTTCTTTGTTTCACCAGGTCTTACATTTTTAACTGAATGTGGACTTGGACCCCTCCCCCTGTGTTGTCCGTTCAAGTCTGGTCTGTACTTTAATTTCTTCTTATCGTTTGAGGAGGTGTGAGAGGTTGACATTGGAGGGCGTACGAAGAGGTAGAGATAGGCCAAAGAAGAGGTGATTAGGCAAGACATGGCGCAGCTTCAGCTGACCGAGGACATGTCCCTTGATAGGAAGGTATGGAGGTCAAGAATTAGGACAGTAGAGTAGGTAGTGTAGAGTGTTCATGACATTAGTATTGACAGCAGTCTCGTTTTCTGTTGGTAGTAGGTTTTTATAATTAAACGTTGTTTTCTTTCATTGTTGATCACTTTACTGTCTTGTTGTTTTATTCTACTTTTATATGGCTTTTTGATACTGTCCCTTCTTGCCTATATTTTCATTGACGTGGTACTTATACTATCTTGAGCCGAGGGTCTATTGGAAATAACCTCTCTATACTCACAAGGTAGGGGTAAGGTCTGCGTACACACTATTCTCCCTAGATCCCACGGCGTGGGATAATACTGAGTATGTTGTTGTTATCGTCGTTTGATCATGAAAAATCAAAATTGTCCTAATGCATGGTGACGAATTAGGAGTTTTGTTTTCTTCACCCTGAGTCTTTTGTTATCCGATTTTTTAATAAATTAAATGCATAATAAAAACTATGTGGGTGATAATGATACAAATTCCAAAAAGGTTTATAAAAAGCAACGATATCAATGTGTGCATAGTTTTTTTAAGAAATTTTGTTGTTTTTCTGAATTTATTTTAAGAAAAGTACCTCAGACCTGTTTATAAAGACTCAAAAAATTCATTGTTTTCAAAAAAAGAAACAGAAGAAAAGTTTGTAAACCTTTTCTGAAAACGGAGCAGTTCCGAACACTTTTTTTTTAAAAAAAAATGGAAATATAGCTCTCACCTAAAAGAATTTCTTCCAGCTATTTCGGTAGCTCTTTACCATTTCACTTGTAGGTTTGATAATTTTTGACTGACAAAAATTTTCCGACAAAATATTACGTTTATAAGTTACTATAAGCTTTATTAAGAAGCATCTTTTGGATACATTTTGCCAACCGCTCCTAATATACTTGACTATATGTAAGCTGTAAAATTCAACTAGTATTTGTTTTCATGGGAAAAAAAAAGAAGAAGCTTCTTATTAAACTTCTTAATTATTTGCTAACAGAATATTGATCTTATTATTGGGGGAATATGCTTATATGCCATCCTGTCAACATTCAGAATGAACTATATAAATCCTTAAATATTAGCACTCGGGCTTTTAACATCTGGGATTAATTAACTGTGGATTGTTTAGGTTTGTTTCCTTTGTTGAAGTTGAAAATTAATGATATATGATGTTAGAATTTAAGATGCGTCTCTGTCACCGAGGATTCTACAGCTCACGTGTTAAGCCGAGAAACTGGATTTTGCATATCGGTTTTGAGATACTTTATGTTCATTATTTTAATCTTATACAACATTCTATTCCTAATCTATATATTAGTGCATTTCGTGTAGCACTCACTAATTGATCACTAGTTTAATTCCTTACTGCTTAATTTATTGAAACTATGATCTGGACCATGCTGCCTTTTTCCTAATAATTTCTGCTCACTGGACTGTGTAGTCAATAATGCTACACGTTGTTTTCCCTTAGCTTATATATGCATCTGAATGTCTTTAATCATCTATTCTGGTACCTTTCAGTGAAGAAGTTGACAGATCAGCCAGCTTAATTAGTGAGCAAATATATATATAACAGTTGTCCAACTGCTGGTTGTGATGGTGGCCGCCACGGATAAATGATAATCATTTTGTATACGGTTAAAATCGGGCCTACCCGATTTTACTATTTGATCGAGACAAGGGAATTGCATCGAGGGTCAGCCTCGTAATGGATGAAACCAGGGCACGAAGACAAGGTATCGAGTTCGAGAATCGAGGTACCTGTCGAGATCGAGGTCAGCAGCGATCGAGACCGAATATGACAGACTTCGAGCAGAGCGCAATAATGGAAAAGCGAGATACCCGTAACCGGCAGGAAATCACGGCGGGAATCTCGGAATGAATCAAATCAAAGACGGTTAATTAGCTAATCATGTGATTTCCTTCTATAATTAGAGTTATACCATAATTAGGATTCCTCTACTATATAAAGAGGAGTCCCCATCATTTGTAAGCACCTTACATTCACACATATCAGAGCAATACAATACTTTCTACAGTTTCTCTTTAATTTATATACTCTTGTTCATCAGTTATTTTGTTTCTTAACTATTTTTGTGATGACCCGTTTTAAAAGTAAATTCTGCATTTCGAGGCCTTAAAAACCTTTCTGTCTCACCTCGATCTGCGTGCGCAGTCCGGGCGCGTAGCCGGAAAGCCAATATGTGAAAATCCGTGAAAAATGATAAATCTTGACTATAAAATGAATTAAGTGGACTTCGGTTAATATTTTTGGGTAAACGGACCCAGACCCGTGATTTGACGGTCACGGAGGGTCCGTAGGAAAATATGGGACTTGGGCGTATGCCCGGAATCGAATTTCGAGGTCCCAAGCCTGAGAAATGAATTTTTAAAGAAAATTGTTTTTTGTAATTATTTATGATATTTGGAAATGAATTGTGATTAGAACTTGATGGTATCGGGCACGTATTTTGGTTCCGGCGCCCGATACAGATCTTATATGTGATTTAAGATAAGTCTGTGAAATTTGGTAAGGAACGGACTTGAAACGACGTGAATCGGATCGTTTTTGAGAAAATTAGAAATTTGAAGTTCTTAAGAAAATTCATGATTTTGATGCTAAATTCATAGTTGTTGATGTTATTTTAGTGAATGCATGAGCGAGTCCGTATGATGTTTTTAGGTTGGTGTGCATGTTTGGTTTGGAGCCCCGAGGGCTCCGGTGAGTTTTGGATAGGCCACGGGGTGAAGTTTTGGACTTAAGGAATTGCAGGCCTGCAGGCTTTGCATTTGCAAAGCTTGGCTCGCAAATGCGAGTTCGCAAATGCGAAGGCCTCGTCGCAAATGCGATCAAAGGCCCGGGCCAGCTACCTCGCAATTGCGAGGAAATCCATCGAAAATGCGATGCCTCCCCTCCTAGCCAGTAGTCGCAAATGCGATGCAATCTTCGCAATTCCCATCTCGCAAATGCGAGAGGTTGTTCGCAATTTCCAACCTAGCAGAGGTCGGGGTTCGCAATTGCGAACCCTGTTCGCAATTCCCATATCTGCAACCTGCAAATTTTTATACTTAGCCGAAAATCAACCATTTTTCACATCTCTTCCAAACATAAACTCCCTAGGGCGATTTTTCAAGAACAACTCTTCTTCCAAATCGATTGTAAGTCAATTTTAACTCGTTTTCTTCAATCATTAACATCTTTTAACATGATTTTAACTTAAAATCAATGATTTTCATGGGGGAAATTGGGTGTTTTGGGTAGAACCTAGGTTTTTCAAAAATTGGGAATTTGGACCTCGATTTGAGGTCTGATTTCAAAACAAATTATATATTTGGGTTCGTGGGGGAATGGGTAATTGGGTTTTGGTTCGAACCTCGGGTTTTGACCATGTGGGCCCGGGGGCGATTTTTGACTTTTTGGGTAAAACTTTGGAAAATTTTATTTTCATGCATTGGAATTGATTCATTTAGCGTTTATTGATGTAATTAAGTAACTTGTGACTGGATACGAGCGAATTGGTGGTGGAATCAAAGGGTAAAGCGATAACTGAGACGTGAATTGTGTTCGTGGCATCGAGGTAAGTGTTTGGTCTAACCTTAGCTTGAGGAATTAGGAGTCGAGTCTTATTTGCTATGTGGTGTTTGTCGAGTACGACG